TAAATCAACTAAAAAGAGTTTACACAATAAAAATATTGGTGGTAGTTCGAGTATATGTGTATAGTTTTATTTTTGGGGCTCTTTTTATTACGATTTTTTGGGTATAGCCTTCGCTGCAATTTGCTGTTGGTGTTGCTTGTATTTTTTTTTTTGTATTGAAAAGCAGCTTAAATATCAACGATCGAGCGATCGTCAGATTGAAAGGCCTTAGGAAAACATTCGCAAAAAATCTGTTCAAGTGACAAGTGCTCAAGTTGTTGTCATAACTGCTACGATATCAGCTGAAAGATATACACATAGCCCCCCGCCCGCACCCATTGTCAATGTTGTTGCTATCAAGCGGCTTTGTTTGGGTTTTTTCTTTCTTTCTTGAATCGTTAGTTTTTTTTTTTTCCTCAACATTCTCACGGTGGATAGCCAAGGCGAAGAGATGACAAGTCACAACCACAGCAACCAAATTGAGTGTGTGGCAGAGTCTGTCAAGGGCTTTTGTCATCCCCCCCCCATCCATCCATCGATCGAGCGATCGAGCGATTCATTGATTCATAGATCCATCCATCGATCGATTCAGAGTGTGATGATGATGATCGCTCAATTTGCGCAATGACGTGAAGATTGTCGTGCGTTTTTCGGGTAATCGATCTTCTAGGCGTGTCTCCTCCGTCTCGAGAGGAAGAGAGAGAGAGCGCTCTATTTTCTGAAGATGATTTAGTTTTCGTCCCCCTTACGGCTACCGGTTGCAGTTACTGTCGAGATCATCTCCCTTTGGATCAGGTTCGGTTCACTGCTTGACTCTATCACACACTCCGATTTGTGGATCCCCTCGAGAGGGGGCAGCAGATTGTAAATTTTATTGCATACTCTTCAGCGTCCCGCCGCTCTTCCCATCGTCTGTCGTCTGTCGGCTGAAGTCTGTCGTCTGTCGTCTGTCTGTCTTTTTTTTTATAGTTCTATCTTTGCCTTTTGTTTTTCCACCTTTATATGGCTGCCCTGCCTGCCGCCCGACAGTGTTATTTACGACATTTCGAGCCAAAAGTTGCAAGGTGCAAGTTTTAAATTGTGGAATTTTTATGAGGGCCAGCAAAGGGAGTGCTGAGTGTGAGTGCTAGTGCGAGTGCGAGTGCGAGTGCGAGTACGAGTATTCATAGCAAATAATAATCATAAAAAAAAGAGAGAAATGATAAAGGAACAGCGCCAGAACTAGCCTCCATGCCACCGATAACTGGCTGGCTACTTTACGACACCCGCAGAGATCTCCGCAAATTCATCACTCACTATCGGTGCGGGAAATCTTTGATACTTCGTAGGATACGCTGCGATCCGAACACTCAGCTTAATATACAGCTGAGTATTATGTGTATATTATTGGATATTATCAGAGGATTAATGTAGGCATTAATACAATGAAAGGGGAACCACTCCAGATATCTCTTTAAGCTATTGTCTTCCCCTCAAGCTGTGTCACACTTGGGCCTAACTTGCCACAAATTCGAAGCTTCCCCTCGAAGCTTCTTGCAGCCAAGAGAAACCCATTTAATATTCATGGCCAGATAGATTTATGCATCTCACACCCAAAAAACACTCACGTGAGTCAACCCAGAACACAACCCAGAACACGACACTCACGAGTAAATTACAGTCAAATGACATGCTCGCCAAAAATGCCACTTCAAATGGTTGTCGCCTGCCTCTCTCCTCCTCCTTCTGCTCCTGTGTGACATGCCATGCCTAAATCTGCACGAGTACGAGCGGGGATATGTGCGGTGTGTCCCCGTCCCTCTGCCGCTGTCTGACATCTGACATATTTTCAAAAGTGGGCATAGACATGACAACAACAATTGCATCCATGTATCTACAACAATGGCAACAACCGGGGACAAGCGAACCACCAGAAGACGCAGCTAGTATATTTTTTGGTCCCCCAGTCAAGTCAATGTCTGTCTGGCCTTGCCACACAGCCTCTGCATCTGTGTGTCTGTGTTTGTGTGTGTGTGTGTTATAACGGGCGTTGGGAAAACAAATTGCTAAAAACACCCCTCGAATGCAGCCCCTCAGCCCGCGTGGCAAGGCTGCGGCGGCTCCTGGTTGTGTTTTTCGGGCGCGCAATGTGAAAAGTTAAACCAAAGTGACAGGCTGTGGCAGGGACTAGGACAGGGCCAGTGGCAGTGGCAGTGGCAGGGGCATATTCAGTCAACGCGCAGGCTCGTTGAGGGCCCAGCGGAGAGAGTAGGGGATGGGAGTAGGGAATAGGGAGTAGCAGCAGGGTAGGGGGACAGCCCTAGGGGAGTGAGGCAAAGTGGCAGCCTACTGCTGCCATTAAACGTGTCACACGCAGCACAGCGCACAGTTGAAAAGTTAAATGGCAGCGGTTGTGGCAGTGGCAAGGGACCGCGGACCATGGGCCAAGGGGCCGGGGGGCAGGCGTGCGCACACCAAAGCAATGAACAGCCCATCGGCCATGTTAGGATGTAGTTATAGCTGCCACACACGCACACACATGCACCATGTATCTCTCACACACAGATACACACATGTTGCGCCACCGATGATGGCGTCCATATTGCACATTTCTTCTGTCAGATTTCAATGGAATTTCAACCTCAGCCCCCCCTCCTTCCAGCCCACAGCCAGAGGGCCAGGGCCCTGCCGCAGATACATTTGTATCTGATAGTTTTTGTGTGTGGCGTGGACTGTCATAAATTATTCTCATAGATATCTATTACGACGAGTACCCGATATCGCTCTGGCTCTAGCTCTGGCTTCTGGGTTTTCACCTTTCGGTTGTGTGTGTGTGTGTTTTTTTTTTTTTGTTTCTTTCGGTTCGTTTATTGTTTTATTAATTGCTTTAGTCGCAGCTTTCGGGGCAGCCCTTTGATCTGCTGCGCCCGCTTTGGGCCTTTGGGCCTAGTCACGGCCACAAGTTTCTGTTTAAATATGTATTTATTTGCTTAAATTTATACTCGGTATTTATTCCCTGTCAATGGCACTTTTCCGTTTGTGGTTGCCGGCAAAAAACGAAAGAGAGAGAGACACATTCGTCAGCCAGGTTAACATCGGCTTCCGTTCAAAGCTAAACGACAATTGTTTTGCCAACAAGCAATTTACCGAGTAAGTATATCATAATAAAAAAAAAAAAAGCAGCAAGCAAGTATAGCAAAGCTAGCCGAAGGAGTCGAAGCAGAGTATACCCTTGCGGATGCATATTTTTTTATTCCAGAAAATGAACTGAATAATGAATGAATAATGAATAATCTAGAATAAACCCCCCATAATCAAATGACAAATTCTTACCTTCTCATCCTTTCGTGCATCGCAGCACAGTTCTCATCCAAATCGTAATACCCTCTTCTAGGGTGTTTTCAAAATAAAACCATTTTGTTGTGATTAATGGAAAAACAATTTGTGGCCGTTCCCGTCGCGGTTTATTTGGCTTTTCTTTCTCTCTCTCACTCTGGCGCTTTTTTTATTAATGACTGAAAAAAACGAGTACATACATGCATGCAAAATGCTGGCCATTAATTAAATGCTTCAAGTATTGCATTGAATTTCATACAGAACAGACAGAACAGACGAAAATGCGCTCCGAAATTACACATCAAAATCAACCAATAACCAGATCAAGTAATTGAAATGTTTTCTGTGCCATCAAGTGAGGGATAATGAGAGGGAATTATCATTCAAGTTGAAATGTTCTCGCAATGGCAGTTCACTTGGTGGACAGACTAATGGGAAAAGAATTACGTAAAGTGATTGATAGATGAATTGTTGGGAAATTTCGGGGAGCATATACACATATAGGAGTATGAGAATTCTTCAGATATATGGAAAAGTTTTGTAGGCCATTTATCTTAATTTCTATATTATATTATATTTTTTCTATATTATTTATATCATACGAAGCTAGAGAACCATTGACACTCATTGCCATCATAATCCCCTATACTAAACCTTGAAATTGAACCCCAGTACATATTTGAAATAATAACTTTGCATACCCATAACGACTATATTTAATATTCCCCTGAGCTGAATTATACATTTTGTGGATAATACGCTCCTAATTGAAGCTCTCCATAAATAAGTGACTGCAATTTGATGCAGATTTTTTACAGCTGTTAAAATAATTGTTGAAATCGACACTTGCCATCGCAGCACACTAAAAATCAATTAAAAAATACCTCCATGTTTTTTTTTTTGGTTGAGTTTCGGTTTTGGTTTTGGTTTCGGTTCGGTGTCTTTTGGTACTTTATGAAATGTAATAAAATTTGTTTGAAACACTCATTTAAAACGGCGTAACATGCAGGCGAGATCATCTTGAATATTCATTAGATCGATCGATCGTTCGGCCAGATGGGTCTATAAATTTCACATTTTGGGAGTAGACCTGGTAGACCTGAAGCAGTTGCCGTCGCGCCAGCAACAATGCGGGGCAACAAACAATTAGCATAACATTTTTAAATTTATGGTTCAATTTTTGGAAAAAGAGCAAAAAAAAAACAAACAAAAAAAGCACCAAAAAAAAAAAGGCAAAGGAAGAAACTCGTCTGTGATAAGATTTAACCGATGCGATGCTGCTATTGGCGCTGATCTTTTGTGGCTATTGAGATTTTTTGTTTTGTTTTTATAAATATACATAAGTTAAATGCTGCAGCCGAGAAATAAAACAGAAGCCGCCGGGACATTTGGCAGATTTATTGAACGATTTCATTTGAAGGCACAACAAAAGAAGAAACAGTCCGACGGAGGCGCTACGCTTTTCGGCTACAGAGATCGTACTACGCGGCATCCAAAACCGATCCCATTCGAACCCATTCGATTCGATCCGATCCGATCCGGTTCTGTGTGTGTGTGTAGTGCGGTGTCCGATCAAAAAGCCAAAGACAATTTGCATAGAACAGATGAAGATCGATATGCATTATAGACTATACGAGCTACATATAGCTAAAAGTTCTAACTAATAATCCACTATTTGTTTTCTGTTTGTTTGTTTGTTGTTACAGACTGAGCTGCGTTCCTGCGCAGCGTGTGGCGAACCAATCTCGGATCGATTCTTTCTCGAGGTTGGCGGCTGCTCGTGGCACGCCCATTGCCTCAGATGCTGCATGTGCATGTGCCCCTTGGACCGCCAGCAGTCGTGCTTCATCCGGGAAAGGCAGGTCTACTGCAAGGCCGACTACAGCAAGTGAGTTCCATCATCTATAGTACTTATGCATATTCCTCAATGAACTTTCCCCGTGGTATGCGCGTATTTTGGTATTTTATTATTGGGAAATTCCAATTGATTTTCCATCTCTCGTATTGGGTGTGTGTGTGTGCACAAGTGTTTTCCAAATAGTTTTCCCACACATCTTCCAGGGTTCCAGAGAGATAATTGTAACAATTCGACAACGTTTGCGACTTAATCCATAAAGTCAACAACGACAAAAAAGATGCAGCAGCCGCAGCCGCAGCCAAAATGAAAACTTTTCCAACACAATTGCAGCTTGCAAGCAAATGTATCTTACGGATACATTTATACACAGAAAGATACAGCCAGAGATAGATGGTATGGTAGTTGGTGGGGTGGGGGGGCAGAAAAAGAGAGTCGTAGGAAAACGGTGTCGACGTCGAACCAAATGAAAATAAACAAACAGACGCGCCGTGAGATGCTGTAAAAATATTTATTTTTCAAGTTAAGAATTTTAAGTGTGCATTGCCCGATGGAGACATCATACAACAGGGGCTCCAGCTCCATCTGCTACTCAAAGCCAGGTCCAGGTCCACAAACTCACGTCCGAGTCATGCTCCACACACACACACACACACACACACAACACCCCCCTCCCAGACCATACATTGTTGGGGGCTGTTGTAAAAATAAGCTTAAAGGCTAACAATAAGCTACCAAAAGTTGCCAACTCATTTGGAAAAACGCTGCCCAGGGGTGAGAGAGAGAGAGAGAGAGGCAGCGAGCAGACCCCACCCCACTATGTACTTCCGCTTGGAAAATCAATCTTCAATATATATTCCAAACCTATAACAAAACTGAAAACTGATTACAATATCCGCTCTCTCTCTCTTTCGTTGTTTTTTTTATGTTTTGTTTTAATTACAGAAGTTTTGGCGCCAAATGTTCGAAATGCTGTCGCGGCATCTCCGCCTCGGACTGGGTGAGACGTGCCAGGGATTTGGTCTTTCATCTGGCCTGCTTTGCCTGCGATCAGTGTGGACGCCAACTGTCCACCGGGGAACAGTTTGCCCTCATGGATGACCGGGTGCTCTGCAAGGCTCATTATCTGGAAACGGTCGAGGGTGGCACCACCTCAAGTGACGGTAAGCGAATTGAAATCACAAAACATAAAACAGAACAGAACAGAACAGAGCCCCTAAAGAGCATAAAACATCAACGCAAAAACAAAAACAAAGCAACAACAAGTTGAAAACAAGTTGAAAACATGATGCACGCTTCAGTGGCCGGAATCGGTTGCCAATTTGGAACGCTTCACTGTTTTTAAGTACAGTGAAAACAGAGCAACAGAGGAAGAACTTAGCGCCAGTCGGTCGCCAGTAGTCAGTGGCCAGTAGCCAAGAGCCAAGAGCCAAGACCAGACCTGAACCGACCTTCTTCCCCTGATGAAATCGTGTCACAATCGTAAAACACAAACCAAACTCTTCATCTCCAGCCAGGTCAGGTCTGGCTCTGGCTCTGGCTCTACCTCTGCCTCTGAGACGACGTGATCGGCTTGAGAATGTCGTTTCCCTCCCCCCTTCCCCTTCCATTCTACACTCTGCATGGCGAGACCACCAAGATGTTGCGTCTGTAAAGTACTATAAACTATAAACACTTTTTGACATTTTCAATTTGGTTGGATGTCAAAATGCTTTTAGAAGCCCCAGTAGTCCAGTAGTTGGAGCCCATAAGTCGTCTCGTCTGCCCTACGGAATATCCATTTATGATTCTCTGTTCTCATTCGAATTCTCTGTTCTGTTTTCTTGACTCTTTTTTACAGAGGGCTGTGATGGTGATGGTTATCACAAGAGTAAAACGAAACGGGTACGCACCACCTTCACCGAGGAGCAATTGCAAGTGCTGCAGGCCAACTTTCAGATTGACAGTAATCCGGATGGCCAGGATTTGGAGCGCATTGCATCGGTGACCGGTCTGAGCAAGCGTGTGACGCAAGTGTGGTTCCAGAATTCGCGTGCGCGTCAGAAAAAACACATACATGCTGGTAAGAATAAAAGTAAGTAGTGGATTAGTGCAGCATGCTCTCCCCTCCCCCACCCCCCCCTAGAACCAACCACACCACAACCCTCCAAGAAACCAAAAGTAGTACCCACTAGAATCCACTATCCCAGTATCCTGTACAAGTAGACAGCCAGTTAGAAGTATCCTCCAAGAAGAAATGATTATAAGATGCTAACACCCAGTATTCACAATTTTTTCTATTTTTTTTTTTTTTCTCCTTTCAACAAACGATTTTTGATTGCAGTACGCGAACCGGAAGGAAGCTCATTTGCGCGTCATATTAACCTGCAGTTAACGTATTCATTTCAGAATAACGCACAGAATCCAATGCATATGAACGGCTCCAAAGCGGGTCTATACCCGACGCATGGTAAGCCAGTAGTTCCTAGGCCAAGTCATTTCACCGTTAAGCATTGACAAATTCCTAATTGAATGATTTTTGTTTGCCACAGAATCCTCCATGGATGAGATGTCGCAGGACTCGAATGTGCATTGCATGCCCAGTGAGGTGTGACTAGAGCAGTCCTCGCCAGCACGAGCCCATCGCTAGCGGGGCACGCCTCTACGTGTATCCAAAGGGATAGATATACACAGATACACACACACTCAAAGCACACCATCAAGAAACAAAAACAAAAAGAAATGAATGAAAACGCTAAACGTCCTTTCCTAGTCAAAATTTTATGTGAACGCTTGCATATGAAATGAAAAGAACCCAGCAAAAAACAAAAAGTACATGATACCATAGCATTCCCCCCCTCCCAGTTAGGCTTTGAGCATACTCCATCAAGCATCGTACCCAGAAATCTCATCCCACAAACAGAAAGACAAACAAACAAACAAACAAACAAACAAACAAACATTCCTGCATTGTAGTGTAAGAAGCTGCAGAGCTTAGTTAATTTAATTTAAATGAAATTTAAATTTAATTTAGTTTAATATTCGATAGTGGCTAAGTGTTTCGCCCTCCCCTCCCCAACCACCCCCCCTCGTACATAAATGGATCTATCATTTTTGTTGTTTTATAAGATTTGAAGGTTGATAAACTGCTTGCCAAGGCTCCTGTAATATATTTATATATATATATGTATATGTATATGCCTATCCTATATCATTATCTTATCGTATACCTACCATGAGAAACGTTGTTATTGTTTATTTTCTTGTTTTTTAAATGTATAAAAATCGCTATAAATATATAAACTATATTTGTAGCTGTAGCTGCCCAGCACAGGCATTTTGTAAATAATAATGATAGCCACAATGGATACGAAAATGAAAAAAAAAAGAAAAGAAAAAACTAACATTTAGTTAACACAAATTATAATGAAATACAATTAATGATGAACCGAAATCAATTAAAAAGAAATGAATGGAAAAAAACAAAACATTTTATAAAAGAAATTCGAATGCATTTTTCTTGAAATGAAATTGGAATTTTTTTTGCAGCTCAAACAACGAAGATTAAATCAAAGAGAACGTTTAGTACATAAACTGGATCACTTTCCCTTTATAATTCTTTTGTTAGGCCTCAATTTCTATCACTCCTCTCTCCTCGACAATATCATTTGCTAATGCTAATGCCACGAACGATCTCTTTGGGCAACACTCGAAATCAATTTCCGGTGCAGCTTCATCATCAACCTGTAGCTGTAGCTGTAGCTGTACCTGTACCGGTATACCTCTGCCCATTCACCGATGGATCAACTAAAGCATCTACAGCAGACAGTGTGACGACGATCTTGGCCCTCAATCTCATCGCCCATCAACCCATCTGCTGCACTTGGGACGATCGGACACTCATGTTGCCAGTCATGTGGTTGGATTCTAGTGTTGCACTTCAAGTTTGGGCGTTAAGTGCACAGAGAGGGACGAGTGCGAGTGCGAGTATTAATTGAATTATAAGCCTAGATTATGCAAAGATTTCCTGCCTGCAGCAGCCACACAGCCACAGCAGCAGCAGCAGCAAAAGCAGCAGCTGTTCGGATAAAGCAATTTGTGTGTTGGAAGATCATCATGATGATCATGCTTATTGGGATCGCTTGACGGGGGTATCATACGTAAAGGGCTATATGAGAAGGCGGTTTCGAATGACTTGGACATTTGGAGAGGACAGGGCAGCGACAGGGTCTCTGGTCTGTGGCCTGGACTGGTCTGCTGGGGCACTGCACTTGTTTGTAATTTCTGTTGTTGGTTTATAATTGTGCGATCGCATTGCAGACGAGGCAGAAGGGCTTTCCACAGCACGTTACAAAAATATCAACAAATCGTCATCATTAATAATGATCACTCCGGGCTACAGACTTGAAAACACGGGTTGCTATCAGTGCGACGAGTATTATACACATATCGTATACGTTTTTTTTTTGTTGTTGTTGTGATTCGGTCTCCGGCTTCTCGCTTCATTTGTCAAATTTCACCGCGCCCCCAAAAGATCTCCCGAGAGACCGATAGAGAGAGAGAGAGAGAGAGAGAAAGAAGGAGAGCGAGAGAAAGACATCTGAGATCTTGAGATCTGTTGCCTGGTTGCTGTTGTTTTTGTTGTTACTTGAGCAAACATTCAACACTTGAAGCGAGAGATTTTCGTGGCAAGGTACAACAACTCAATTCCCAGTGGTGCCCCCGCCCCTACCCCACCCCACACCCCCCCTGTTGCCTATCTCTCTCTCTCTCCCTCTCTCTCTGTGTTGCCCTGCCCCTCGATCTCGATCGTATCATGGGGATACGAGAGTACAATCCCATGCTCTTCTCTACGGCAATGAAATTATGAATGATGTGATACTTTTGCCATTGAGATGTTTTCACAGTCGCGAGCCTCATGACATGCCCCAGCCATATCTTATTTGCTATATCTACATCGCATTCAAGATTGGAAACTGGCAACTCGAGTTTTTGGCCTGCCAGGCCTGGCCTGCTCCGCGGGCCTCTTTGCGGGGCCCTCTCCTGTTACCTCGTCCGGTCCGCCGAGTGGTTGGTTTTGGTTGCTGCTTGCTGCTGCTGCTGCTGCCGTGTTTGTGTTATTTCTGCTGGAAATGAGCGATCGCGTGCAATAATTTGTAGACGACTTTGGTCTTGAGGCTGAGGCTGAGGCTGAAGCTGTTGGCTCTTGGCTGGGTTCTTGGTCTGTTGCTGTCGCTGTTGCTGTTGCTGTTCCTGCACATGCTGCACATCATTTTTCAAAATCATTCAAACACTTGTTAAATATTTTCTTAACCGATTGATGATGATTGTGACTCGCGGAGAGTGTGATATAGAGAGAGAGAGAGACACACACACACAAGAGACGAAGACGAAGATGGAGACAGAGACAGAGTCCCCCCCCCATCCTGCTACAAAATTATTTGTGTTTATCAATAGGCAGTGAAAAAGGTCTCAAGTTCCAGAACTTCGATCTGAGGCTCCAGTGTCCATCAGGAGGCATTGACTTATTACGATTTTGTTGGCCTTTTCACGTCCGCGCGTTTCACGCGCTGCCCTGCCAGGGCCCGCTGAAATTAATTGATATTTGTGGTATGCGCTTTGTTGGTCTTCGATCTTCGATCTTGGAGCTGGAATCTTCGATATACATATGTATATCTTTTGATGAACAGCGGCGGCTGCGGCGGCTGCGGCGGCGGCGGCCACTTTAAGCATTGATGATCGATTACAGAACGTGCCAGAGCCAAGAAACGGGGTCAAGTGTGAGGATTGCCTCTCGATGATTGGGTATGCAAATTTTTATACTCGTACCACATGCAACTGACAACACAACTCAACGCTCGTTTCATGCCGCATGTCCCCCCCCCCTGCCAACCAACAATGCAATAAGCTTTGTAATTTCTGGCTATTGGCCCATCATCGCCGGCCATCATCAGCATCGTCGTCACGGTCGTCATCGTCAGATCAGCCTTTGAGGAGGTCCCAAACAAAAGATGGCCCCAGCCTTCTGCCAGGCAGGGCTTTCAACACTTTCTGAGGACCAACCTCAGCGCTCATCTGATGGGTCGCCGGGTCTGCTACGTCTCTCTCTTTCTCTGTGTGTGTGTGTGTGCGTGCCATGTGACTCATGCCGCTTGGCATTTTAATTGATTTTGGAGGGGGCGCAAAAAGCTCGGTGCCAAAATCCTCACCACATGACTCGCGCTGGCACACGTTCTATTTCAGCCAGTCCGACAGAGGCGTCTCGCTCGAGGGGCACTCCACTCAGGTAGCGTAACCCCAATTTCTGTTGAGGCTGAGCTAAATTCTTGGCTATGCGGAAGGGCCCCCTCTTCGGGCAGGCGCCCCTGTCTCGTGGCTGTCAGGCACGTACACAGAGACCGAGAGCCGTGCTACACCTAGGCAGGGGATCGGACATTTATCATGCTGCAGTGCCCCGCAGATTCCGATTCCGACTGCCTGCCTGCCTGCGTAGGCGTTGGCCGGTGGTCAACTGTCCAGCTTCCTCACTCTCTTCATCAACAGGAGTCGGCAGTCAGCAGCAGTCAGCAGCAGCAGTCAGCAGTGCTCTGTGTGCCATCATTGGGCGTTGGAGCACGTAAAAATGTAACACCAAATGGGGGGGGAGCGAGCTGGGGGCTGGGACACAGAGGTATTCCGAGGCATCGACAACTTACGCACATCAGTGCTGCGAGATTTTTGTTAATTTATAGCCAAAAAAAAAGAAAGCTAAAGCAGAATGGACCAGTAAAAAGCTAAAGCTAAAGGGAAGATTATGATTTGCTTTGGCAAATGGTTCTCCATAAGATAATATAGATCTACGTAGGAGAGCTCTCCATGTAATGGAAATTCAAAGAAATTATAGGAGTTCCCCTAGCCTATAACAGCTTTTATTTATTCAAGTTTATTGCAGCACTGATACGCACTCGGACTACTGTTCAATCCTCTGGGCCATTGGCCAAGTCCAATTTCCATTTGCCGATGCGAGAATGAGAATCCCTTGCCCTTTGCCTTTGCTTTTGCCACAGAGTTTGCTTAACAGTACGCGCGGTGGCGGCGGCGGCCAGGACACCCAGCTGTGGTCGCACAGGCCAACAAGCCAGGCAGGCGGTGGCAGCCACAACCGTTGCTGCTGCTGCTGCTGCTGCTGCAACACAAACAGCACAAGACAAGAGCAACAGAAACAACATGGACATGGGGACGACAACGGCGACTCCTCCGACTACGAGTATGACGACAACTTTGGCAGTACACCTCAATGTTTGTGCAGGCAACATTCGCATGCAAGTCAGCAAAGTTTGCATTGACACGCAGCAGCAGCAGCAGCAGCAGCAGCAGCAGTGGAAGCAGTGGCAGACGCAGCAGCAGCAGCATTTGCATAAAGGTGGAGGGGATCATCGGTGGACAGTGGGCAGCAGGGGGGAGACTGTGGGCTGCTCTGCTGGTGTCATGGTGCCGAAAAAAAAACCAAAAAAAAAACACCAGACAAACGCCAAGTGCACAGCAGGGCAAAACGAGGAAGAAGCCAGCCAGGAGACAGAAGCCAGAAGCCAGGAGAGCAGAGCTCACCCGTTGTCCATGATGAAGATGGACGTGTTGCTGGTGGCTTCCCATCACCATCCCCATCACCAGGAGGGGCAACAGCAACAGCAGCAGCAACAACAACATCCCCATTAGGCCGCACATAAACTGCATGCAATGAAATTCACTCCTGTGGCGTGGCCATGTTGCTACCGCGCTGCAGTTGCAGTTGCAGTTTCTTTTGGGGGCGCTGCTGCTGCCTGCCTGCCTTCCTGCCTGCCTGCCTGCCGCTGTCTGACTTATGGCAATTGCCAATGCAACATTTGTTGCCGGCGGGACGGGAACTGTTTTGGCTGTTTGCTGTTGTTTTGTGCCACTAAAGATGGGGGCGTGACCAGACTAGAAGAAGCCCCAAAGGCTTCGCTAAGGCTTCCCTTGGAGTGCGCTTCAGTCTGGAATAATTGCAGCCTATCACTGCCCTAAATGTTGCTGTTGTTAAGGCTTGATTCAGATGACAGCGTGACCTGGACTCTTGGCTCCAATAAAATCCCGAATAAAATCACTTTCTTCTTGAGCTTTCGTGTCACGCTGCAATCACCAATTGCTGCCGCTGCCGCTGATGTTGCTGTTGTTGTTCTGGCTTGTTGGATGGCAATTTTTTTGTTGTATTTTACTTACTCATACCCCCCGCAAACATTTGTTTCAACACGTACGCGCAAATGAGTTTACAAGGTGCGATATTCATGTTGCTCTGGCTCTGGCTCTGGCACCAGTCTGCCTGTGGATCGGTTCGGATCGGTGGATATGTTGCTGCTGCTGCTGCCTCTGCTGCTGCTGTTTGTCAATATTTACTATGCGCTCCAGTCGGGCAGCAACATGTTGCCGGGGTACGCAAAAAAAAAAAAAATAGCTGGCTAATCGTATATTTGCCATTTTATATATATTAATAGCTGAGC